TTCAACAGGTTGGTTCAACAGGTTGGTTCAACAGGTTGGTTCAACAGATTGGTTCAACAGATTGGTTCAACAGGTTGCTTCAACAGGTTGCTTCAACAGGTTGCTTCAACAGGTTGCTTCAACAGGTTGACTCGACTGCACAGTGCAGTGTGAATGCAAACGCACCAGCTCAGATGTAACAAAAGGTCATGAATACTGGTCCCGAACCGAGTCTACCGGACTATCTAGTGTGAAAACGACCTAAGTCTATAGCAGCATAACAAGCTGACCCTAACTATAGGATTTAGCAAAAAGGAAAGTCTTCAAACTGGACAATGTGTCAGCCTCATGGACAGAAACTGCAAGTTGGTTCCACAAGAGAGGAGCCTGAGAACTGAAAGATCTTCCTCCCATTCTGTTTTTGGAAACTCTAGGAACCACAAGTAAACCTGCAGTCTGAGAGTGAAGTGCTCTGTTAGTAAAATATGGAACAATAAGATCTGTAATATAAGATGCAGCTAGGTTGTTGAGAGCTTTGTAGGTTAGAAGTAAGATTTTGAATTCTATTCTGGATTTGACAGGGAGCCAATGGAGAGAAGCTAAAACTGGAGAGAGATGATCTCTCCCAGTAACTCCAGTTAAGACTCTGGCAGCAGCATTTTGGATCAACTGAAGACGTTTTAAAGAAGTATTTGGACACCCAGATAATAAACCATTGCAACAGTCCAGTCTAGACGTGACAAATGCATGGACCAGTTTTTCTGCATCATCTTTAGATCAGATGTTTCTAATGTTAGTGATATTACGCAGGTGGAAGAAGGAGGTTCTAGTAACGTTTTTAATGTGGGGGATAAAAGACGTGTCCTGATCAAAAATAACACCAAGATTTTTAACATTAGAGCTGGAGGACAGATTAATGCATCTAAGGAGGGAGAAAGACTGAAACATTCATTCCTAAGGTGCTCAGGTCCAAAAACCAGAACCTCAGTCTTGTCTGTTCAACAGGAGAAAATTAAGGGTCATCCAGGTTTTTATGTCTTTAAGACATGCTTGTAGTCTAAGTAGCTGATTGGATTCATTGGGTTTAATGGACAAATATAATTGTGTGTCATCAGCATAACAATGAAAATTTATCCCATGTTGTTTAATAACTTTACCTAATGGAAGCATATATAAAGTAAAGAGTATTGGCCCAAGCACTGAGCCCTGAGGAACTCCATGACTAACTTTGGTGTATGAAGAAGATTTATTATTTACATTTACAAACTGGAATCTATCAGATAGATGTGATTTAAACCATTTTAGAGCTGTTCCTGTAATCCCAACATCATATTCAAGTCTCTGTAGTAAAATATTGTGATCCATCCATTTTCTTTACCCGCTTATTCCATTTTGGGTCACGGGGGTCGCTGGTGCCCATGTCCAGCAATCACTGTGCGAGGGGCGGGGGACACCCTGGACGGGTCTCCAGTCCATCACAGGGACACATAGAGACAAACGAGACAAACAACCATTCACTCTCTCACCTAGAGACAATTTAGAGTTACCAATCAGTCTAACATGCATGTTTTTGGTCTGTGGGAGGAAACCGGAGCACCCGGAGAAAACCCACGCATGCACGGAGAGAACATGCAAACTCCACCCAGAAAGGCCCCTGGACCGGGGTTTGAACCAGGGACCTGCTCGCTGAGAGGCAGCAGCTCTACCCGTTGTGCCACCGTGCTGCCCTTCTACTTTTTCATGCTGTTTGTTATAGAACATTACAAATGTTCTCCTCCTCTTCAGGGGTCTCCAGAGAGTTGTCCTCCGTCTCACTCTGTCCTCTCTGTCCTCGGTCCTCTCTTAGTGCAGACTTATGTCATCTTTTAAAATCTGCTCCTCCTCAGGTACATTCAGTCAGATGAACCCGTTTCCTGCCTCATGTTACAGTTCAACAAGGATCCTGGTGCTCAGATAGATCTCAGAGGATGACTCTCTGCTGCCACCACACCAGGTTCTGACCTGGACAGGTTCTGTGCGGTCAGACCCAGTTTGCACATGAAGGGCTCCAGGAAACCGTACGTTCTCTCATGTTGGTCACGGTAACGCTGCACCTGTTTAGACCAGAGAAGAGTAGGAGACGCTGTGGTCGCCCTGTCGGGTCACCAAGTGGCGCCGTGGGACAGGTGCGTCCAAAGGGACGAATACAGGAACGCTGGTCTGGACTGCCGATGAGGCCCGGTTGGTTAATGTAACCGGACTGAGCCAGCACCTCCACTGTCTCTCCACTCTGACACCAGCACTGAAAAGTTCTGGTGTCGGACAATCGGACCTCTGCTGTCCTGCAGACAGACGAGTCAGAAACTGGGCCCAGGAGTCCTTTCTGGGGGACATTAGCTGCAGCGGCCATCTTGAATTGGGTTGTGTCATCATGAACACCTGAGAGCTAACACGATGTTTAACTCAGCACAACGTCGAGAAAACGTCTGTTTTTCCATTTTTATTCCTCAACAAACAAAATACTTTTGTAAAACTTCAAGAAAATGTCAAATTTTTAACAGTCAAGAACATTTAGATGGTTCTGGACAGAACTCAGCTGGTGGCTGGTAGAACTCTAGAACCGGACTGGACCATGTTTCCAGCTGAGCTGGGGAAGGGGGCGGGGCCTAACATGGGCAGCTGGTTCTGGTTGTAGGTGAGAAACCTGGCGGCGCTGCTCCTCGTGGCACCTCGGACCTCCTGCAGACACACAGAACGGACAGTTCTGTCAGGTTCTGGTAACTTTATGAAGCTCTTCTCAAGATAAAAGCCACAAAGTGCTTCAACAAGCAAAATAAACAAAAGCGCAAAACTAATTGAAGCAAAGGCAGATTTAAAAAGATCAGTTTTTAGCTGAAGCCACTGATCTGAGAGTTTGAAGCAGTTCCAGAGTCTTGGAGCCGCAGAAGAAAAGCCCCGGTCTCCTTTAGTTCTCAGATGGTCTGGGGGACAGTCAGCAGGTCTTGATCACAGGACCTCAAAGACCTGATCAGGGTGTAGGGATGTAATGTTGGAGTCTGTCCATGCAGAGCTCACCAAGTCAAAACCAAAACCTTCAAGTCCACTCTGTAATGAACTGGGAGCCAGTGGAGTTATATGACAAAACCTTGAAGATCCAGTCAGGAGTCCAGCAGCAGCATCTGCACAGACTGCAAGCGGTCTAGGGCAGCTTTGGTTAAACCAGTGTAAGTGCATTACAAAAATCCAGGTGAGACGAAACAAAAGCATGAATTAACATTTCCAGTTCAGGACGAGAGACAATGTGACTGAGCTTGATGATATTTCACAGATTTTTTTTTTTCATTCAGCCTTTATTTATCCAGGTCGACTCATTGAGCCACGAGAACTCATTTTCAAGAGAGACCTGTTTAGGGAGCAGGTGGTGGGGGTTGAGTGCCTTGCTCAGGGGCCCAGAGTGGGGCCAATGAGGGTGGAGGCAGGTGTGGGTGTTTCACCTTTTCCACCCACATTTTGATGTTGACGGTACCGGGAGTTGAACCTGCGACTTTCCGATCACAAGCCCATCTTCTAACCTCTGCGCCACCACTCCCCAGATGGTAGAAACAGGAAGGAACCAGAGACTTTACACGAATTTCCAGAGTAAAAGCGGAGTCAAAGGTTATCCCAAGTTTTCTAACCGAGGATTTAACAAAATGACCAAGAGGCCCAGGATCTATTTTATCATGGCAGTAGTTTTTTCTGGAGCAAAGAGGATTACTTCAGCTTTTTCTCTGTTTATCTGGAGAAAATGTTCAGTCATCCAGCTTTTAACTGAACCCAGACACTTTTGAAGAAAAGAGATACGTCATCAGCAAACAATGACAGGTTCTGGTTTCAGTTCAGTTCTGGTTTCCTGGAGAACAACATGGTCCAGTCAGAACCCTGAAAACAGAACCTATCGATCCGTGGACATTAAAAGACAGACTGAAGTGTTTTTACTGAGATTATTCTCATTCAAAGACCGAGGCTGGCAGAGCAGTGAAGACTTTAAGAGGACGGTGGTTTTCACTGTTTCGCTTTAATTTGAATCATATTCATGTTTTTGTTTTACTCCTTCACAGTAACCTGGAAATTTAGTTTTACCTTTATTTTCAATATTCAACTCAATTCAGTTTATTTATATAGCTCCAACCCAGCACACACACTTTTTGCCCCACTCCCCTCAGGAAGGAGGTTGAGGAGCATTAAGTGTAGAACCACTAGACTGAGGAACAGCTTCTACCCCGAGGCTGTTAGACTCATGAATCTCTAACTAGAATAATCACTGTGAAAAA